TGCAGATCATCTGGCCGAAGCAGGATAGAGCGAAGCGTAGACACGGACCCTGCTCTCATCTTGATGGTCTCCCGTTCCTTTTAAGGTTGTGGAAGTGGCGTAGCGTCATGCTTCACTATATCACGTGTGTGGTCCTGGGATCAAATCCTAGGTCCTACCAGGCCAACCAAGCATTTCATCTTATCTGAGCGCAAATTGCTACCAGAATCGTCTTGGAGAATAAAAACCCTACCATCGACTGGCCACTGCAATTCACGTATAAGCCAAGTCACGTTCGAAATGTCATCACGATTTTGAATGGAAGTAGAAAGTATGGCGTATCCCGAAAATGGATTAATAAACACCGAACGCCTTATCCTCCATACTTTTGCGATCATGAAGCTCGTACATGTGTAATATTAGGTACCGGATATCTTAATGTCGTTTTTTCACCAAGAGTTATTGAACCAGCAATATTTCAGTTCAAAACCCGGGGAGCGAATTAGTTTAATCATAAAATGACTTACTAGGATCCCCTCATCTAACAATTAGAGGCCGAGCAGAAGACGATTAATAATTATGGCGAGATTAATGGAGAGTTATTATGCCCTCATCTAACAGTTTGAGTGGAAACCTTGCACGATCCAAGCTCGGAATTTTTTGAGTTAAAAAGGAGAGGCAGGTCGGTTTTGACATCCTCTGATAAATCATCCCTCTTACTTGCTAAAAAGTAAGGCCTGGACAAAGTAAGTATACAGCTGGTTAGCGTAGGGTCTGCATTGCACGACAGAAAAATTAGAACTTATCAGCCCAAGTGGGCAGTTTTTTACGGAGACTTTTTTGCAACATAGGGTCAAAAACGCGGTTTTAACAATCACTAGAGGGGTCCGTCAATACGACCTGCCTTCCTCCAATACGACCATTTTCTCCACATCCTACCACACCCATCATGAGTGTTTCAATAGCATCTAAAACCAGACGACAAGCCCAACTCCATCCAGTCTTTCTTTCCAAAACATCCGTCAGGAGCTATCGAGTCGAGCGGTAGAGCGGGGAGGAGGGGGGAGGGTGGAAATAAAAATAAATATAAAACAAATATGTTTAACGCATGGAAAACCCTCTAATTTTTACTACTTCTTGCTTCGTTCATGAAGTTTTCCCCAAAATCGTCACAGAACCAACCGAAAAGAACCCCCTCCCTCGCCACCACAACCCACCCAACTTCCAAAAATTACAACCTTTTCCCAACCTTTCAATATTTACCAACCCAAAACGACATTTACGTCCTCCTTCTTTAACCAGAAATACTCAAATACGACCCCACTCGGTGAGAACTGCGCAACACACGGTTGACCCCTGGTCCCGCTTTGACCCCCCTATCACTTCATTAATCACAAATTGATTACTGATTTGGCCACGGGACACCTTGAAATCCCTTTTCCGCGCTTTCCCAACAATTTGAAACCCTCGTACTGCGCTTCCTCTGCCAGTTGGGTCCTTCCCTTAATCTCACCCTCCCTACCCGACACGAGTACGGTAGTCTGAGGTTCCCAAGGCGATTATCACTTCCGAAGAGCTGATCATCTTCGTACCACCGCGATTGAGTGTGTGTCGATGCCTGTGTGTAAGCAATCGGCGACGGGAAGGCGGCCGTGGCGGCGGAGCCCTTACGGCGCGACGTGGCTGTGCGACGCGGCTGAACGGCTGTGACGCCGCTGTGTGACGCGGCCCAGTGGGCGGCCCCATCAGGCCGCAGCCACTCCATGGCGCTCACAATGCCACCTTCCGTCACTGTAACTTCTCTCCTGGACTTCGTTTCGGATCGATTCCATTCGGGATTGGTGCCGCAGATTGATAAGATCACCAACTGGTTCCCTAACAAACCTGAAGTCGTTTCGAAGCCTGTAACCCTCTCAAGTACGTGTTCCGCGGTTCTGCGGCTTACCAGTTGTTGTTTCTCTTTTCAGTTCCGTGTTTGTGCTTCTCTGCCTGTGTTCTGTAATGCCCTGGTCTTCTGATAGTTTACCTCGTAAACAAAGCCGGAAATGCTTCGCGTGGTGCATTGTTATGCGGTTGGATGTGTATTGTTTGTTCTGATCTAACTTGTAATTAATTAATCATCTCGGTCATTCGAGAAGGTGTGAACTCTCACCATTAAGTATCAAAGAAATGCTCCCAATCAGGAAGTCTGTCGCAGTCCCAGCCAATTCATCTTAATTTTTCGTTCTGGGTGCGACCGGTTGAGATTTTTATGGAATGCGTCCATTCTGTCCTTTTCAATGATAACTGGAGTAATTTTCGGCGTAGCGTTTTGCAGTTGATCTTTTTTCGGGTCTATTCCAGTTAGAGGGCATCGTGATGCAGTTGTTCCAGAAAGCTAGGGTAACTCCGAGCCAGGGGAGTGTAGCCAGTCTAGGGGGGGGGGGGGGTGAGGGCAGTCACTTGACATGCGTGAAAAGCTGGAATGTTCGAGTTCACTGAGAATCTGCATCATGATGCCTCCCCCTCTAACTGGGGTGGTATTCAATCCCTCCCCCAGGGGTTGGGGGACGGAAATCCCTTTAAATTTATTTGTTTTCAACGATGTAGTTTCTTCATTTTCAATGCATGTTTACTGTGACATACATACATACATTAAACCTAGGCCCTTTATCAGGACAATCCCAGTTGGGAAGACAGAGAAAATTCAAAGGGATTTTCGTCCCCCAACCCCTCGGGGGAAGTATTGAATACTGCCCTTGCTGGAGTAGACCCGTTTTTTTTCTGTGTAAGAAGACTTTTCGAATGAGTTATTAAACTTGGCACAGATTCAATTTCATATTGCTTATTGTTTAATTGCCTTCCGCATAGGAAATCTTAATCTTCTTCGAGAACGTTCCTTAGCATGTTTGGGTCTCATGCAATAGTTCATATCGCATGAAGTAATCTACTTTTTCGTAGTGAAGGGGAAGCCCCGGGGTAGTGTAAAGCCTAAACGAATGGATCAGTGCGACAACCCGTGAATTCGCTCCCCTTGAAAAAAATGGAATTTCGGGAGCCGGCAAGAACTGTCGCAACACATACCTCACCCCTTTAGTGTTATTTTATTATCCCCCGTTCAGCCTGGAAAGTGTCCCATATCAAGACCTTATTGCTCGTTCGCTTTTTTTTAACTTTTACCTTCTCTACTGTCTGCAGAATACACCTTAAAAGGTTCAGCGGAGCGCTCGGAAGTCTATTTGTTTTGGTTGCAAGGTTTCGCGGGAGTGCAGCTGGTTTTGACTATTGAATTTATTTGCGATGTGTTTCCTACTATCATCCGGATGAGACGTTATTTCGCGATGACGGAAATTTAAGAGGATTCAGGCATTGCAATCGAAAGCAAAGCGGCCAGCCAGTGTGCATATGTTGTTATTCTGGGTAATTGCAGGGCGCGAGCCAGTGTTTTTACAAGCCGTAAGGTCAAGCATACTAAATTGTTGTCAGTTTATCTAAATTTCTTGAGAGCGGTAGCGGTTTACTTATAAGAGATAAGAATTGCCTCGTGGTGGGTATTACTACGATCGCACTTGCAAAATAGCTGAAACTCCACTGCACGCATTTCCTGTGTTGGAACTTGGTTACCATGTGGCGGCATGCCGCTGCGCCGAGTGACAGGAGGTGATTGGGGCAGCAACCCTCCTGCACATCACTATAAGGGAGCATCGTTTTGCACTCCTACTGACTAGTAAAGGACGCCATTCGTTACGGGTCCCACTGCCTCCTGCTACAGTGAACCCTTCAATGTGGAGCGGGGAATCCGTGAGCCAGGGGCAGTGTCGCCAGTCTAGGGGGGTGGGGGGTGAGGGCAGTCACTTGACATGCGTGAGAAGCTGGAATGTTCGAATCCAACCGCGATCGCATGGGATCCCCGCGGGTTGAGGCAGTGGGTTCCGCAACGAATGGCGCCCTATACTAGTCAGTAGGAGTACAAAATGATTACTCCCACTGTGAGAGAGGTGTCAGGAGGGTGACGGCCTCGCTAGATGTGCCATGAAATTGCTTTCTTTCGAAAATTCATGGTTCAGTAACGGCTCTAGCTCAAAATCGTATTGAATAATGCTTCCCACAAATTTGTTCGGTCCTGCGCTGGAAGCGGGTGATATTTTGGAAGAGGGGTGGAAAACAACAAGAATAAAGTGCATAAGTGTACTACACAGAATGGGCGCTCGTTTGAGGATCGATTATGTCGATTTGTTTTCCACTTATTTTCGTTGCAGCCCACCAAATTATTTTGCATTTCATACGATTTTTTCGGTGACTAGATACATATTTTGAAAGACCATATACACAATATGATTGCAGAAGTTTGCCACGAATTTGCATCCTGTTTCAGTCAGTTGAGAAATTGTGAAGTTTGAGGGCTCAGCTTTGGATGCTGTAGCTTCATTGTTTCTTTGAGTCTGTTTCTCGGGGGTAGCTGCCATCATCAATAGAATAGAGCTTGTTGTTGTCGTCGTCGTCGTTCTGCGAGCGACATTGATAAGGCTTTTTGCGCCGCTTCGAATTCCAAAGTATGCCATTGAAGGATTTGTGCAAGCACTGGTTCGATTTTGAAATAGCTTTTCATTGCACTTTACCTAAAGGAACACACTTGAAGGTTTTGGTAAAGAGTTCCATACTTAAGCGAAGGCGTACGTTCCAAATGGCAGAAACAGGGTGGCTAGTTCCGGTTGAATTGGTGCAGAGAGGGTGGCGCCAATAACAACAGAAATGTCAGGTGGAAATTAGTAATATAACACGAGTCTACTGTTGCGCAAAAGTGTTGCACAGTTTGGAATCTTTTAGACCCTCCAAGTCAGTAGTTGGGAAGCAGAAATTCAGGTGGCAGTTCTAGGGTGTCCGGGCAATTATTGATTTTGTGTTCTTATTGTAAAAACATGCACTCCAAACTAGCAACTGTTGACAGCACCACTAAATGATCTCTAATATGCTATTTTGATTTCGCCACGATTAATCTCAGGAAATCCTCGGTTTCTTTTCTAAGGGTTTAAACAGTAATTATGCCTCTTTTGCATGTCAACCATGTAGTATTGATCAACATTTCTGTAAAACGACTGGACCCACAATTTGAGATTGATTGGGTTGATCCTGGCTGGTCTACTTGTTTCCAACGTTCGATGGAATCGGTACTACATTGGGCTTGCACTTTTAGGGCGTTCTTAGACAGTAGAATCGTTCTCCCTGTAGTTCTGCAGCTGTTTGATTACGTTAGCAATCGTGTTTTTGTGATTTCCAGTGAGGTATAGTTCCATTGACTGTTGCTGTTTTGCAGAAGATGGTTGATCGCAAGGCTGTGATTAAGAATGCCGACATGTCTGAGGACATGCAACAAGATGCAATCGACTGTGCAACGCAAGCGCTTGAGAAGTTAGTATACCTTTTTGTTGTTGTTGTTGCTTTCAACTGTTCAGTAAGTGGAATTCATTACTGGTATGAAGCTGTACCATGGGTAAAGTGGGGACCTTCTCCTGGTCCCGAAGACGGCTGGCACTTCGCCGGTAGGAAATCATCTAGTTAAGGATTGTGTTAGTACCAAAAAATGTTCCTGTTCAAAAAGCACACGCCCAAACGGCGCAGTTATCTCGCGATTTTACGTAGCATCGCGCCGTTTGGTGACCTTAAATGGCGATCACGTGGAAGTAGGAGCTAGATGACCACGATATCCGTTCGTGCATTATTAAACGTGTTCGCTGTCAAAGATGTGGAGTACCATGCTTTTCATATTCAAAGTACTTATTACTTTGGCTTTATAATGTCTTAGTAGCAGAGGGTATCTAACGGTTACAGCTTAAAATTAGCTTACGTTTAACGGTAATGTTCTCTGCTTTGCAAGATGGTGATTTTATCATAATCAGCAGGTGCTGCCCACCATCGGGTGTCATCACACATCGTACGTTGTAATGAAGTGGACAGCGTTTCACCTCCTGCGTTCACTGAGCAGTCTTACGCTAGTGAGGATTTATTCAATTCTCATTACAACGAATGAAAGCAGCAATTTGCGCGTTCCAACTTAGATTTTCACGAGCATTTTCTGCTCCACAAGACTAAATTAGCATCAACGAAATATTTTTACTGTGAATACAGGCAGCAAATCTTGCAGAAAGTTGCTAGTTCTTGAACAGCATCCTATTTGGGGTCATTTGGCAAGATCTTGATCGTTCGTTTTGAAGGTACATATTCAAGTGCACAGTGATTCACAGAGGTGATACTTTTTCTCTCCTTACGCAGTGATGAGAGGCTTAAAAATGAAGCGCGCCGTGATTCAAGAAAGCTGCTGAGGGCATACGCACGATTTCGATTTTAAACACCGTTACAAAAAGTGTCAGAGGCTTTGGTGTCATTTACTGGTACGTTTTTTTGGCTGCCAGATGACCAATAATTTGCACAAATCGATTTTGTGAATTTGTCGTTCGCAATGTCATTGCCGTTTCCTCATAAGAATTAAAATAGATTCGTATTAAAAAAGCGTCGGGCGTTCCATCGGAGTTTATTCGGTGGCTCAACGTAATCGTTCTAGGGCTAGCAATCTATTCAAACTTTGAGTTTAGCAGATCAGCTTGCTCTATATTTACCTCGTTTCGGAGTTTCTAACAGCTGAAAATAATACACGAGCATATCTGGGATAGCACAGTACCACATTTCCATTTTCGCTGGACACTTCTACAAAGAGCATGCGTTGATAGGGTAACCGCTGAGTTATAAACTGGCTTCGAAGGAAAATGTGTAATAGAAGGTGAGCTATAATGCGTTTTCGTTGCCATGTGAGTTCCACGTTGGAGTTTCGCGAGCTATCTATATTGCCTGATGTATTGCGGCCTTTAAAGAACGGCCAACAATAGAAAGCAGACGTTACCATGGTGCTCATCCTGACATCCTGTGACATTTACCATAAGATTTTCCATTGCTCTGAGAAACATGGCAAGATTTCCGATGCTTTAAGGTACAACATCGAAAAAGACATTGCCGCATACATCAAGAAAGAGTTCGATAAGAAATACAACCCCACGTGGCATTGCATTGTAGGAAGGAACTTCGGCTCGTGAGTTTACGCTGTGATTTCTTCAAAATGAACTTATTTTATCATCAGATCTCGTTTAGATATGTGACCCATGAGACGAAGCACTTTATTTACTTCTACTTGGGTCAAGTGGCCATTCTTCTATTCAAGTCAGGATAATGTACCCCGTTCACAAAATGATCTATTGAAGTCGCCTGTTTGTGTGAATAATTATTGTGTGTTATAAAAATGCGTTCCTTTTCAATATTTTGTTACGAAGTGATAGTTTTGTATAAATTGAGTTGGTATCAGTTTTTTTTTTGAGTTGTGAGAGCTGAAATAAGCCATTTAATGCTGTCGAATGATTGGTGTGTGACATGCTTGGGACTGTTATCATTACCTGAACTATATACTACACTACAGTGTGCTCTATACTTATACTCGATATCCGATAGTTGGGGTAGGTGTGGCACCGGAAGTGACGTGCACTTGATAGAAGTTGCGTGGATAAGCGCTGGATATCAGCAAAGCATGCTGGCAACAGCTTATCCACGCAACTTCTATCAAGTGCACGTCACTTCCGGTGACACACCTACCCCAACTTTCGGATATCGACTGTATCTGAAGTGCAGAGGTATTTCAATGCCAAATGACTCAACATGAAGGGTCGCATGGGATTACGCCAGCCAGCGTTCATTTCAGATAGCTGGTACCACTTGTTCAGGGTTGGCGGAAGACGCAACAGCATGGTTTGGGAGTGCGCCGTTAGGTGCAGAACGTGTAATATCTCTACTACGGCAAAATTTGATAGGTGTAATGCTTTGGCTTGTATAACCCGCATGAACAGTAAGTTAGATGTACCCTCTCTTTTAACACATTGACGACAACGCGAGTTTTGGCTTTTTTGGCCACGTGGGACCGCGGCGATTTTGCGGGCGCGCCGCCTCAGGTCGTTCAAGCAGATTTTGAGTGATAAATACATAAATAATGATCAATACAAAACCAGATCAGTAAATTGTAATGAGCACAACCTACCAGGGTACAGTAGTGGAATTTCGATCGAAAGACATGGAATAACAATGAAAAAGCGAAATTTTTCAGAACTAGCTGCAATGGACCTCAAAAGCAATTTTACGTTGATTATTTCAATCAAAACACACATATTGTCATCCCTAAGGTTCCGTATCTACTTCTACTACTATTTAAATCTTCACATTCATAAAAAGAAAAAGTAAACGAAAAATTTATTGAACTGAAGATTTCGTATGGTTCAGAAATCCTCCTCTAAATTAAAGCATACGTGACCATTCTATGGGCCACTATGTTTGTAGCTACGTCAAGGTCTCTTCCATGGAATGAATACAAGAAACTTCTAAAAGAATCAGGCGTGCGCGAAAAAAATGAGTGTAATGGGTGCACGGTCCGACACGGCCTGCAATGCGCGGGATATATAAAAAAGAGAAGAGCGTCGGGTGCAGACCATACACCACAAGTGACCTCCAAGTAAATCTGGTTAGTGGTGGTGCAAAGTGGTAGCTGATTTTTTTTTAGTTTAGTTTAGTTTATTACATGCTCCTTAGAACTTTTGTTGAATGATAGTTGTAATTAGTGGCAATTGATAGAATACAACTGCAACAGGCTAATCATTTCACTGGCAGAAAACATTTACATTTTGTGGAGGCGTCGTCACTTATGGTGTATGGTCTGCACTCGACGCTCTTCTTCGAAAGGGAGTATACATAGAATGATGATTGATTGATACGTCGGGGTAACTATATCACTTTGAGCTGTTCTACCCGATGTTGTATCAAGGTGGTGCCATAAGAAGGAACCAAGCAATTAGTGTGCAATTAAACACTTGCATTATGCTGGGGTGCAGCATGCTTATTTGTTTTCTAGGTATCTCACAAGCAATTATTTCCGTTTCGTTGAGTTTGCTGGAGGTCTGGCTACTAAAGGATAAAGCATTTGCCGTTGATCAATCCCTTTTTGGGATGCGGCACGCATTCTACTTCCATTTGTACATTCGTAGTGGCGTTTGAATGCGATGTGGCCTATACAATGACTTGCGGGGGCCAGCCGATGTACAAGTCAGTGTTTTTATCCTCCCAGACAAGTCTGGTACCAATTAACCGACCCCGGAGGGATGGAAAATTGTAAATGAGCGCACAACCTAACCAGAGTGCAGTAGTGGAATTTCGGTCGAAAGACATGGAGTAACAATGAAAAAGCGAATTTTTCAGAACTAGCTGCAATGGACCTCAAAAGCAATTTTACGTTGATTATTTCAATCAAAACACACATGTTGTCATCTAAGGTTCCGTATCTACTTCTACTACTATTTAAATCTTCACATTCATAAAAGAAAAAGTAAACGAAAAATTTATTAAACTGAAGATTTCGTATGGTTCAGAAATCCTCCTCTAAATTAAAGCATACGTGACCATTCTATGGGCCACTATGTTTGTAGCTACGTCAAGGTCTCTTCCATGGAATGAATACAAGAAACTTCTAAAAACCAGGCGTGCGCGAAAAAAATGAGTGTAACGGGGCGCACCGGTCCGACGTAGCTGCAATGCCGCGGGATATATATCAAAGGAGAAGTGGCATGCGTCGGGTGCAGACCATACACCACAAGTGACCTCCAAGTAAATCTGGTTAGTGGTGGTGCAAAGTGGTAGCTGATTTTTTTTTTTTAGTTTAGTTTAATTTATTACATGCTCCTTAGAACTTTTTGTTGAATGATAGTTGTAATTAGTGACAATTGATAGAATACAACTGCAACAGGCTAATCATTTCATTGGCAGAAAACATTTACATTTTGTGGAGGCCGTCGTCACTTATGGTGTGTGGTCTGCACTCGACGCTCTTCTTCGAAAGGGAGTATACATAGAATGATGATTGATTGATACGTCGGGGTAACTTATATCACTTTGAGCTGTTCTACCCGATGTTGTATCAAGGTGGTGCCATAAGAAGGAACCAAGCAATTAGTGTGCAATTAAACACTTGCATTATGCTGGGGTGCAGCATGCTTATTTGTTTTTAGGTATCTCACAGCAATTATTTCCGTTTCGTTGAGTTTGCTGGAGGTCTGTATAAAGGATAAAGCATTTGCCGTTGATCAATCCCTTTTTGGGATGCGGCACGCATTCTACTTCCATTTGTACATTCGTAGTGGCGTTTGAATGCGATGTGGCCTATACAATGACTTGCGGGGGCCAGCCGATGTACAAGTCAGTGTTTTTATCCTCCCAGACAAGTCTGGTACCAATTAACCGACCCCGGAGGGATAAG